TTAAACTTATATTAAAGTTTTTCTTCATTACCCATTTAAGCCGTCTCCAGCCATTATTAGTCTCAAAGTGGGTTCCTTGTCATCGAAATTCAATTTTAGTGATTTATGTTAAAAATGTAGATTTGAAATGTACATTAATTTTTCTGTCAACAAAGCTGTAGAGAAGAAACATTAGGTTTTAGGTAACTACAAGTGGAGGAGTCCAAAGCTGCATGTGTGCATACATAAGCATATGGAATTGTTCCCATTGTAAGGTGTTGCACTTCAGGCATGAAAAAACTGAATTTCGTACAAACCAAACAATAAAATTATAAAATTAGAATAATTGTTTTAGAGGTAAAAAGTTAAAATTTTGAAGCTATAATGAGAAACAATTCATTCAAAGAAGAAAAAAAAAAGGTATTGTTCATTTTATTTCATAATTTTCACAATCTTATATCACTGTACATGGATATTTTGCTACAGTTTGTGTTAGGGCAGAGAAAATAACAGATAAAATATAAACTTTTGTTTCAAAAAACTTTTGATATTCATTTAGGAGATTAAGAGGATAGAGGTTAAGCAAATGAAATATAAAAACTGCTAGATGAAAAGAATTATTTTTATTTTTAACATAAAAAATCATCTTGCACTCAGATTAACTCAGTAAAGGCTCTGCAAATTCACAGACATAAATACTTCATTAACAAAATCCTATTTTTGCATACAAAGACTTTTAATGTGTACTAAAAGCTTGCCAAATTCTGGGAAGATGGAATTAGTACATTCAGAGTGAAAGTATGTATAGTTATTTAGTGGTTAAAACATTAGTCAAATTATATGAGCACAAGTCTTAAGACTTAGATACCTGGTTTGCCTTTTTACATTTTTTGTAACTGTTAGACAAATTTATTACTATGTAAAGGGGATATTGAGATTTTAACTGTGCAGTGTAATTGTATCATGCTTTACCAATGGTTATGAATTTCTGTGTAAGCTAATTCTTGCAAGTTTAGAAATTGCACTTTTCATTTCAATAGACCCACATACAATTTTTATGAAGATTTTAAGTAGAATTATTCCAGTTTAAAATTAAAAGGAAATGCTGCAGAAAAGTTTTAATTTTTTGAAGTAACTCTTCAGTATTTTTAAACTGATAAAAGGATTTTCATTGTCATTTATTTAGATATTATTCAATAAAAATTTTGATATTTATTATCAATGTATAGGCACAAGAACTGTTTCATAAATCTCATAAACTTTACATTTTTATTTTTAATGCTGCACAGCACCTGACCTGAAACCAGTCTTATGTACAGGAAACACAAAAACTGATAACGCTCTATCTGAAGAAACAGGAAATTTGAGTGACGATGAGCCTCTTTATGATAGTGTAGCTTCAGATGATGAGAGTATGGAAGGAAACCATAAGTCTTTGATGGAACAAAAAGTGATGACCAGCACTGAAGTAAATGTATACATAGATGTGTATTCTAGAAGAAAAATCTTCAGCTCAGATTTACTGTAATAATACTGTTATCAAAACTGAACTTAGAAGATAATGAAATAGTAATTGCAATGAAATGGATTATTTTGATAATGTTTATAGAAAAGTCTACCTTAGAATGAAAAATAACTAGTATTGGTGCAAATTTAGTACTTTTAACTTGGAACTACAGACTTAGTTTTTTTAGAAGTTGAATATTTGTATTTTATGATATATATTGAGTTAAAAAACCTACTGAAAATGATTGTCTTAAAAACTGTTTGTCGTGTTAAAGAAATCAAATTTTTCCAGGGGCACAGAGAATCGTAAGTTTTATTTAAGAAAGATTGGACAAGGTGCATGGTATCTTAAAACCATATTCTGTTGTATGCCTGAATTGCATGATTTGCAAACTAGCATTGTTTTTATTTCTGTTATTTCTCTCTCTCCCAACAATATTAGATTTTTGATATCAATATAATGCCTAACAGTGTGATGAAAATTGAGAGGATCAGTGGACATTTCCAGAACAGGTGGTGCTTGTGATAACTTCATTTAGGGATAGGTATGATCCATTGATTTGAGAGTAATGGAAAGCATTTTGAAAACCTTATATAACTGTTTTGAAACACCTAAGGTGAGCTTCTATGATATCACACTTTACTGAATAAAGCTTATGATTCTTATGCTTCTGGTGAAAACTAGTTTGGGCCTTTCTTTTTAATTACCTGTAAAAGTAACATACAAGTTCTTGTGTCATTTACAAAACCTTGTTTGATGAAAAGGTGACAGATTATACAGCTTTGATGCCTAAGATTGTTTGTCTTCAACCTAAAATTTAAATGTTTGCTGTGCTTGCTGCATGATTATAAACTTAAGCTGGTCACTTTTGCACTAGTTGAATTTTACTGCTTGTAAAGTTGTGAGTATACATAATTTTAATCATCCATATGCAGCATGAGATATTTCCTCTTAATCTTCTCTTTATTAGTAAAAATGCTACAACTGAAAACAATTTTTAGCTTGAATGAAGTAAAGAGCACCTAAAGATTGCTTCCTTTTTGCATGGCATCCAGCTTATAATTGGCCCTTTGCAAGAAACCTCTACCCAGGTAGAGCCAGGATCTGAGCTGGTAAGTAAAGAATTTGATTCTGCTCCTCTGGCCAAGCCCACTGATTTTATCACAGAACAGATAAAAGATGATCGTGATGACTCTGAACTGGCAGAAGCAGTTCCTCAGAAGAGTGAAAAGAAAATAGTTAGTACTCGAGATAGACCAGAGGTAAGATAAGTGGTTAACATTTGATAATTTAATTATTCTGGCATTTTGTAACAGTTCTAATACTAATAGGGGGTTGAAGAGTACTGACAGTTTTGTATTTCACTAAATTCCAGTCAAATGATTTTCTATTACCTTGATAATAGATAAAATTCAAGATCACTTATATATGTGATTCCTTGCTATTATTAGTAAATTTTCTGTGGTTTTAAAGGTCTTCAATATTAAATCATAGTTGAATAAGCAGTGCCTGTCATGTTTTATCTATCAGTCTGCAAACAAAACTTTCCAGTTTTAAAAAATTTTGAATGATAATCTTAATGTCTAGTGATATCTGGAATTTTAAATGCCTACCAATATGGCTAAATTCATACTAGTGTTCAGGCTATAAGGGAGTAAATCCCCTACCCAAATCCAAAATTCCACGCAAAACATAGTAGTGGCCACATATGTTGTGCCACAAATGATCTTGTTCCTCAGCTCTATAAAGCAGTTTTTCTCCATTTTTTAGTGAGTTTTGTTGATAGAGATGGCCAAGGAAGATTCATTGAGCTTACTGACCTCTGTAAGGTAGCTAAATATGTATCTGTTTGAATGTGAAAACATCTACTATTTTGTCCTTGAGGGATATAAAAATATGGTCAAGTAAGAAACCGATTCTGCCCATTCATAACCATATGAAATACAATATGTTGATGTTTATTGTACACAGATTTGCTTAGCAAGTGTGAAACTGTATTCCTTCAAACTAATTTAAACAAATGGACTGATATATATACTCTTGTTTTTTTAATACTCACTGTAAAGCAAGTAATTGTTTATATTATATTGAATTTGGAAATCTATTCACTTAAAGCATGTAATTATGGACTTCCAATGTACATAACTAAACATACTGTACTAAACATTCATTTAAGCTCTATTTAGTTGCAGTAACATAATATTATAGAGCTTCAGAATTTGCTATGTATGCAGTCATTCATTATGGAAAACTTTACAAGTTATATCTAACTGTAATGGATTTAAAACAGTCAGGTTTGTAAGGTTGTTATTTCAATCCACTGCTCACCTACTAGAATCATTGCCTTTTCATACTAGGTGCATCTTATATCACCATATTGAAGCTGATTTAGATTTATTATTTCTTACATCTTTTTATTAAAATTGTGTGTAAATACCCAAGGATTTTTACATTATCTTAAAAAATATGAATGGTCTTTAAAATAAGTATGATTTTTAGTTTATGCAAATGCCACATTATTTGTGCAGCATGACTGTCCAGTGTTAATTGTAATTAACCAGGATTTTTTCACGTCTTTAATTTATATGCTTTATTATATTAAAAACATTTAATACAAATTTGTTAAAAAATCATTTGAGGTGATTTTTTATTCTTATGCCTTTTCAAGGCAACATATAAAAAAAGGTTTAAGAATGTGTGCAAGCTTTGGTTAATCTTAGACATATGCTGCTTTGGGAAGGCTTCCTTATATTTTATGTGGTTTATTGATGTGTTAACTGGTGATAATATGTATGTAAAAATTTCTATAGTTTTTTGGATTTTTTAGAAATAAAAATTAGTTTGTTGATTTAGTTCTCCCAGTTTTATAGTTACTGTGTTTTTATTTTTTATTATCTATGAATGTAATAGTTATTGATCTACTTTTTGTTATAAGTTAATAGAAAAGTTAAAAAGTATATGTTAACTAAGTACAATGACATGCCAGATAGGTAGGCTAATGATGTTAAAGTGTATATAAGATTGCAATTTAAGTGAAATTGAGAGAGATCATAGGTTGTTTGGGAAATCAGTACTTAAATGGATACATTGCTTTGTCACATTCTAAATAGTATGTATGAGACTATTTAGTCTCATTGGAAGCTTCATAATACAGTATCTTAATAAAAAATTCATTCAGGACCAAAAATGCTGTAAAGATTTTAAAATATCTGGAAGTAATGTTTTTATGAAATTTTCATTGATGTTATTGCATTCAGTGTGGGTGTTTTGAAGAGTGATTATGCATCACTTCTCATAATATCTGCAATGTTATGCTTGGTATGAATTTTCTCAGAACTATAACTTCAATGTTTATTTATAAATTGTGTAATTTAGTATCAATCACCCCACTAGTTATAAATATATGGGACAAAGTTGGTCTAGAAACAAGCAGGTTAACAATTTGATCATGGTTGGATTGTGACATCTGTGAAAGTTTTTGGTGAAGGTGTTATTCTGTGCATTGTTTATAGAACTTATGTAAAGTTTCTGGTGTTTTAATATCTTAATATAAAAAAAATCTTGAATGAATACATTTGAGGGGTTAGAAGTCCTTTGGTCAACAAACTAAAATGTTGTTTTGACAAAAAAATTCTGCATGCCACAGATCATAATCCAAGCTTGGTATACAAGTGACAACCTTAACATTTTGATTTCAATTTAATACTTGATTGGACTGTTTGGTCAGTCAAAGACTTTTTCAGCCAACTCCAATACTTAAAAGAGTGAGGGGTTTTCACAAATTTTTTATTGTGTTTTTAGTTTTTGATACATTAACTTGTTGGTATGGGGGGTGAACTGTTACGTGATCCTCAGTAAAAATTTAAAACTTAGCCTGCACTTGCTGAGAGTAAAATTTGAATTGACTGTTAAATCAACTTTGTATTTTAACATCAAAAGGTTTTTGTGTGTATGGGAGAATAAAGATAATTCTAACTTTTTTTAAGTTCAGTTATTAAAACACTTAATATTGGAACTTCCAATTGTATCCTCCCTATCTAATTTCATATTGATATAATTCTTGAAAACAGTATGTCTTTCTACAGTATTGGTACCTTTATGCATTCTTATTGCACGTTTAATGTTTATTATGTTAAGAAAAGAAAAATAGAAGCACAGTTTTCTATCCTTTGTTACAAACGAGTTTTTATTTCACCAGTCCAACGGACGGGTTTTTTCAGCTACTAAGTTAATAATTGTGAAGAAGAAAGACGAATAAGAATGTTTCCCATTGTTACAGAGTTTTGCCTCATCAGATCAGTCAGATGGCCCCATTACACTTGAAGAATATCTGGAGGTTAAGAAGCAGTTGGCAACATCTGAGGCTCAAATTAACCAGCTTGTTCAGAATAACAAAGATATGAGGAAAGAAATCAGCCTTTTGCAGAATATGGTAAATATTTAATTTTTCTTAAGACTTGGTTAAACTTACTTTGGAAAAATGTAAAAAAAATATGTTATTAGAGGTATGTATCAATTAGCTATTTACTATTTGCTTCTAATATATTTAGGAACCAAAGGAAACTTAATTGTGACAAATGTTTAGCATTTAATGGCTTATTTTAATGACATGTATGGTAGAATACAATTAAGGAAAGACAATCTCATAGACATTTTTATTTTTCACTCAAAGAATAGTTTCCTTTTTACCACTTCTTGTATTGTAAAACTTCAGAATATCAGAATTTGTAGTTTGAATTTTGATTTGATCATTTTAAAAATGCTGAAAATTGGCTCCTGTTAGTCAGGCAGAGCTTTGCAATAACTCTCACCTCTTTTTTTTTTTATCTATAATAGAATTAGTTTGAACATCAATTATAGAACAAGAGCAAGGATATCTTAAAGTAAAAAAGACCGAAGATCTTGACAGATCAAAAAAGGGTAAAATGTGAGTTGATTAGAAGAGAGGTTGAATTGAATCACTTAAATTGGTATTATTAAAGCATCATGTAAAACTGTTCATAAAAACAGATAAATGGATAAAACCTGTTCATAGTAATACCAGTATGTGTTTAGAACCAAACCAAGATGTTTCTGCTGATCCACTGAAACATCTAGAAGTCCTGAGATTTGCAATTTTTATATAACAAACATCTCTAAAATACCCTTACAAAATGCAACAGATTGACTTTGCAGTTTAAATGTGACTATCTGAAATACGTAACAGGAATGTAGAAGTAGTTATTTATTAGAGAGAGAGATTAAGTCAATCTGTAAAGTTCCAGAAATTTGATTAACCTCTTATGGGAATTAAGTTCCTCAAAACCAATGATTATTATACAATAGTACTACACACAAGTAAAAGGTAATGATTTCATGATAACATGAGTTCTGGTGGTGGCTAAAGCAGGATTTTGTAGTATGCAACTAGTACATACCTTACTGTCCTGTAGGTCATATTTCATATTAGCAAAATTGTATTTTTTTTTGAAGTTTTAATTTGGAACTTGCTAAATGTGGCTGAGATCATGTGCCAAATTCACTTTACATAAGTTGATCTCATTGAACTTTACTCTTTTATGGGTTGCTTTGTGATCATCACATGGAATGGAGATACTTCATGATTTTTAGACCAACTTTTTAATTACCAACTACAGGGAGAAGGTGTTTTGTGTTTCCACTTTTCAAATTAGATGCCTCATGATTTCTGAGGAGAAGGATTTATTTAGTTTTGTTTTGCTTTGTCCTTCAATCTATGGTTGTGCACTTTTAATTTTTTTTCTTTCAATCTTAAATCAAGTTTATTCTCATTTGCTTTTATTTTAATACAGTTGTTTTTTTTGATTGAACAATAAAATGCAATGTCCTATCACTGAATAACCAGAATTTTTATCTTCACTTCTTCTTCAGTAAATAGAATTATTTTTACTCCAACTTCAATGCAAATGTCTTCTCTACTTTAATCCATTTATAACAGATTACTACATGTGTGCTTCTTCATACTAGGTAATCAAGTCTTTAATTTTTTCAGAGATAAGTTAACTGTCTGGTATGTTTAACGTTGAATTTACCACAAGCTCACAAAATCAACCAATTTATAAGGTTGCATTTTGAAATGGGTGAGTGGGCTTGAAGTAAACTAATCCATACCAAGTTACTGAGTTGTGAAAGTCAAATAGTAACTTAAACAGTAATGTCTCAAAGCATTGAGACCATATTTAAAAGAATAATAAAGGTTTTGTTATTGTCACGTAGAAAAGTAGGAGTTACCAAAGATTCTGCATGATAAATACAAATGTAAAATGATATACATTTACTGTAAACATCAAACAATGAATGAAAACTGTGTAGAATGGAAGTTACATACTGATAGGCTGCTAATAATTTCTTAAAGGTATAACATGGTTCATATTATCTTTTAACAGATCCTTAGTTTTTTTGGTATTATTAAAGCATGATTTAAAATAAAAGGTTTTCTAATGTATATATTACTTTTTTATTTCTAAGTTGTAAAAAGTTACATGTTAAAAAACAACATTCTTGGTGAAAGGTTAAGTAAAAGGTTTGAAGCTTGTAAAAAAAAATACATGGTCTTGTAATTAAGGCATTTGACGTGCAATTTGCAGGTTGTGGATTGAAACCATTGCAAAACAATGTGGGGGCATTATAATTTGACATCAGTCCTGCTATTTGTTGATAAAATGTAGCCCAATAGTTGGCAGTGGGAAGAGTTGACAAGTTGACTATGCTGATAGTGTTTGAGTAGCTTTGTGCTAAGTTTGACAAACAAACAAAAAACTATATGACGTTGTAATCTAGATGGAAGATTTTTATTAGGTAATTAAAACAATTATACCACTTAGAACTTCACTGGATAAAGTAAAAAACTAAATTACAATTGTGAGAAACCTCTTGTACAGGTGTATGCAGAGTTTTGATCCTTTGATAACCTGGATAATTAGAGGAAGAGATATTTCAAAGTTAAAATTCCAAATTAATTGCTACTGTACACGTAGATACGATACTGAGTAAATGATGAATTATTTAAATGGACGAATTATCCATATATATTAAATTATTATTTTATTATAATAAAAAAAATGCTTTTATGGTGTAACCACCACTCATTTTTAGAAATTTTACAAAAGATGTGATTGATAATGATAATTAATTCTCAGAAAAAATTTTTGTTTTTGAATATTTGGGATGAGTGAGGCCCAGTGGTTAGTATGCCCAAACTATTGATCTGATATTTTATGGATTGTGCCCAGTTACCACCAAAAATGAAAAAAAAATGCACTTTGGATTTTTGGGGTCATGGGTGCACTATAACTTGACAGTCAATTCTCTGTTTAGTCTTAGAAAAGTGTTGCCTTCCTTCTAGTCTATCACCTTAAAGTTAGAGACCATGAGCTCAGATGGCTCACATTTAGCTTTTTGTGAAATTCAATAAATAAACATTTGAATATTTAATGGTCAAGTGTAGACTATCTGGTTGGCTGGACTTTTTTCAGCCTACTTGACTGTAAGTTTATTTTTTCTGCTTCACTAGTTATTTTTGTCCAAGATGTTGAATTAATGCTTATGTCTGTATTTAATCACGAAAGATGAAAAATACATAGATTTAAAAACAAAAGAAATAATGTAGTCATGTGTTTTATGCTTAGCTTATTATAATTACAGGAATTTACACAACTGGTGTCAAATTAAGAACCAGAAATGTTAATCTTGTGGTTCTTTCTCTGTGTGTGTTCTGATTACATTGAATCTATTTTGTTGGGCACATGAAGGGTCATACAGTATCACATTTGTATTGTGTACATTAAACCTAATTCTTGATATTTCAGGTTCAGAAACTGATGCAAGAAAATTCACACTTGAGATCATCCATCTTGTACAATGCATCAAGCAGTCATTCAGTTTCCCAGCATGTGCCAAATGGTTTTGAACCATCTGCTGGTCATCATCATCCAGCTACTGGTCAGAAAACACCTTCTGATAAAAGAGAAGAAACATCTTCTATAGCTTTTCGGCCACCCCGAGGGAATCAAAGGCCTCAGTCAATGTATGAGCCACGAGAGAGACAGCATGTTCAACAAGATCAGCAGTTTTCTTACTCGTGGGAAACAGTATCACCTACAGGTCAGAGAGGTAGTCATGCTTTTCCTCGAGATGATAGTGGAATTGTAAGTCTCATGTATTTGAAGAGGTAATTCCAATTGGATACTAAGGTAGCAATGAGACTATGAATACTATGTAAGAATCTGTTTATTCTCAGTGATTTGACTACAAGTATTCTTGTGGTCGAAATGTTAAGAATAAAACAGAGCATTCATTGTCTCATTGCTACCTTAGTATCCATTTGTCAACATGATTAATACTTTTGTAATTCCAGTACTTAGTTATTGTCAAAACAACATTTTTGAGAACTAAATTTGGGATACTTTTGTATGTACAAAAAAAAAGACATTTGCATTTTAATAAAAAATATTAAAATGATTTGTTCTTGATAAGATAGCTTAATTTCCATATTTGAGTACAAATATTTTTATCAAGTACTGGAGTTGAATATAAAAATCATTTGAGTACATAGGGCAGAATACTGGTTAGTTAAATTGTGGGAGACACAAAAATAACAACCCTTCAGGTGTTAATTACCTAAACTTTTTTGTATCGAAGGTTAAAAATATTTTATTTCTCTACAGAACTTACAAGCAAAAAGATCATACCAGTTATTGGAATACAAAATAAAATTGTTTCATAATCCTGGTTTCAATACTTTCTATGATTTTCACATGAACATAGAGATTATGCTTGTTTATAAAAATTGCAAAAGTGTGTTGTTTATAAAATTTTTCAGTTTAAGTACTTTACAAAACTTGATGATTTTTAAAATAAAATAAGATGTTAATATAACAACTCTAGTGATAATCTTGGGATCTCACTTCAAGATTACTGACGATTATAATCAGGATTTTATTTTTAAGGAAATATACCTCATTCATAAAAATAGAATACTATTTCAGGGTAACATACAATCTAGTCACACCTCAAGAAATAGCGGCGAGTACGATAACACTTCTATCAATTTTAGTAGGTAAGTGCAGTAGATATTAACTCTCTCAACATGGTCTCGGTCAATTTGACCAACCACATGACCTCTTTACTTGTTTAACTACTAACTTTTAAGGCCCAGAATGCCTAGGTGGTTAGGGCGCTCGACTCGCAATCTGTGGGTCGCAGGTTCGAATCCCCATCACACCAAACATACTCGCCCTTTCAGCTGTGGGGGTGATATAATGTGACGGTCAATCCCACTATTTGTTGGTAAAAGAGTAGCCCAAGAGTTGGTGGTGGGTGGTGGTGGACTAGCTGCCTTCCCTTTAGCTTTACACTGCTAAATTAGGGGTAACACAGATAGCTCTAGTGTAGCTTTGCGCAAAATCCATAACAAACTAACTAACTTTTAATATAGTATGTATATCTTCACAAAATTTGGCAGACTTTTAGTAAACATTATAAGTCTTTCACATACAAAAAATCATATTTTAGAGAAGTATTTTTAATAAACTAAAAAAATTTTGCCTTTGAATATATCAAGTTTTTTTTCTTTTTTACTAATCCTTGTGCAAAGTGATTTTTGTGTTAAGATTGATAAAACTTCATGTCAAAAATCTCAAATTTCATTTGTGTAATCTTTAAAACCTCCTAAATACCTTTCAAATGTTTGTTTTCATTAAAACTTTATATTTTATCTGTTATTTTCTCTACCCTAACTCTATACAAGATTGGTCAATTTGACTGACATCATAACCACAAAAAAAATCAAAATAAATATAAATTACCCTTTATTCTTTCTAGAATGACTTCAAATTGTAACATGAAACTACATTCGTTTATCTTGAGTAGCTTTAAATGCATAAGAGTATACTTATATTTATACTTAAATTTTATTGCCCTTTGAACCATGTCTAACTACTGTTCTGATCATTATAAGTTGTAAATCACTTGGGGAATGTGGAGATCATGTTATGCTATCAAATTACGTTATTCACAAGCTGCTCATGTGCATGCCTCGTGAAAGATTTTTTATTATATTATTATTATTTCATTTTAGTTACTTTTATAATAATAAATATAGAATAAACATGAAAAGCAAGAAATAAAGTACTTACCTGGGTCTTTTTTTTTTTTTGGCTGGCAACTGTTGATAACACTTAACTCTACTTTTTCTATACTAATGGTAGTAATGCACTAAATAATTTTTTATTTAATTAAATAATGCACCAAAGAACATTAAATAATAACATGCAAATAATAACATGCATAATTTTTCTGGCTTTCTAACTATGAGACGAGCCATTACAAATTCATCCAAGTTAATCGTTATCTTTCCTGTTGAACAAAGCTTGTACTAGTAGATAAATTGACAATTCTTTGTTCAGAAAACAATCCAATATAATACGTCATATTATAAATGACAACTTTGGCTTCCTGTTGGTTATAGATAATATAGAATTAGATGTAAGAGAGAACTATTAACAAATCCTGAAAGAGAGGATTTGATAAATGGGGGCTAGCAAGAAAGTTTGGATTTTCTATTTCATGGCTCTGTAACCAAACAAAAGTGAAGACTATAAAAATTGTTTGTCTGAGCAATGACTATTTTATAGTGAGTAATTTATGTTAAATTTCATACTTATTGGAGGGGTGGTGAATAAAATGAATAAGAGGGGATGCTTAGAGAAAATGTCACATTTCTCACACTAGTGGTAATTCAGGATTTTAAAAAATATTGCCTTATAAAATTAAGAACTTAAAACGTATATGATATTAAAATATGGATTATTAGCTATAATTTTATGCTATACAAATTGGTATAACATAAACAAAAAGTAGTTTAATAAAATTTTTATAGTAAGTCACTAAACTGTCGTGATGTGCAGTAAATGACGCTCGGGCAGAGAGAGTTAAGAAGATGTCTTTACTGATTGTTATAAAAAAATATAGGCTAGATAGATTTTAACTAAAGTAGATTGTGTGTAATGTAGCCCACTAAAAACAATATCCTGTTCAGTACTGTCAAACAGGTGTGAGTTACAGGGTCTTACTATCATGTTAAGAGTATAAGTTAATATACTCACTGTTTATTTACAATACTAATTAGAATTCTTGTTAATCTGAGATTTATGTTCAAAGTTTTGTATTTATTACTTGTTTTTGTTGTTACATGAAAATCAAATACTTTGAATACATAAAACTTATCACTGCTGAAGTGCAGTTATAATTTCAAATAATTTGAGAAGAGCTGTAACAGGAAGAAAAAGCATTCCAAATAAGGCTACCTAATGTTTCTTGTTATAAAAAAAAGAAACCTACAAAATATGTTTCATATTATTTTTATATTATGTTCATTTTAGAATATTTTTACAGTAATTTTTTTTTACATTTATTTAAAACATGTTCTGTATTCGTTTATGTTTCAGCAACGGCCCTCGACATCAGAGCCGAAGTAACTCATTAAGTCCTTCCTCTGAGTCCCCACCAGTGTCATCCAAAATGTTGCAATCTAAACGCTCAATCTCAAACAGCAAGAGTAATATGCCATCCCGAGAAGAAATAGATCGTAAAACAGAACAAATTACCAAAAAAATTCAAGAGCTTCTGATCTCTGCTCAGGAAAGAAAGCATGAAAAGTTAGTTTTATGTTTTTAAACAGTATGTTATTATACAGATCTAGTTTTATGTATTCAAATAGTATGTATTATACAGTTCTAGTTTTATGTATTCAAACAGTATGTATTATACAGTTCTAGTTTTATGTATTCAAACAGTATGTATTATATTGTTCTAGTTTTATGTATTCAAACAGTATGTAATATACAGTTCTAGTTTTATGTATTCAAACAGTATGTAATACAGTTCTAGTTTTATGTATTCAAACAGTATGTATTATATTGTTCTAGTTTTATATATTCAAACAGTATGTTATACAGTTCTAGTTTTATGTATTCAAACAGTATGTATTACACAGTTCTAGTTTTTATGTGTTCAAACAGTATGTATTACACAGTTCTAGTTTTTATGTGTTCAAACAGTATGTTATTATACAGTTCTAGTTTTATGTGATAAACTCATCATGCCTGAGGTGGGCAAAGAATGAAAACTTTGTTGAACATTATGAACAGGTTGTTATATTTATCCTATCAGTTTTTAAGACCGACAGGTGTCAGTATAATTGATATACATATCAAAAATTTGATTCTGAGAAAACTATCTTTGACAACTTTTTTAACATTTATTTTTAAATCATCTGATCAACTGTAATTTATCATGCGGTTAGCAAAGTGACATGATATTTCTCATTTTCTGAATATGAGCATACTGTTAATAAGTGGGTAGTTTACTTTTCACATGAAAACCTAATTTGGCTGTGAAAAGGTACATTAAAGGACTGTTTGTCTCATGGTAGTTCTGAAGTTTAGATATAATGACTGATTTAAGTCTGTCAAGCCATTTATTTCTCTTATTGAAATTAAGTACAAAAACTTACTTTATCGAGTATTTATAATGTTTTTAAGAACAATTCCTATATCACAATATTGTTGTTGTTTTTAGGAACTTTACTGTGAATATTCACATTTTAAAAATTTTTTTAACTTTTATCTCTTTTACAGTTTCATACCATGCTCTGAGAAAATATTCAAGGCTGTAACCGAGATTGCAAATGTATTTCCTCAGGTAAGATTTCCTTACTTTTTTGCGAAGATGTGTTAAGTTATAAGGTAGATATATGATACTTGCATAATGTGAATTTTTGTTATGATTTACACAAATCAGCTAAGATTGAATAGTATTCAAAAACCAGTAATCAGTAATCACTGTGTACACAAGGTTATTACCTCATACTTTAAAGTAATTTAAACTCACCTTTTTTTAGAATTATATTAGTGCTTAATGTTTTGGTAATTTTTAAAAATGACTGTGTTGAGTACACTTACTATTGATTTTCTGGTCAGTATATTATAAAGCAACTTAAATATGTTTCTGGAAGTTGTCTTTTGTGAAATGTAGTGTTTTGCTATCTTCTTTATAATATCTGTTTTCTGTGTTAATTGTTTCCCCTCTTTCCCACTTCATCTTTTTAATAATGTCTATGTATGTGTAGATATTTATGTTTCTCAGAAAATAAGAAATCTGATAATTGAAGCACCTTTTGAAGGTAGAACCACTTTCTGAGGGTAAACCTTTCAAAATATTTTTAGGTTATGAGGTTTCTTGTTTTGAAATTTATCTGATTTTTTTAAAAAAGCCTATAATGTTTTTAGCATTAAGGTTTGGCTGTGTTATATTAAAACGATTTTGAATATGCATATTAGCAATTCATGTGACAATCAAAGCTAATGTAAACTCATCATGGAACGGCATGAATCAGAACTACATTTTGACATTGTTTGGCATTCCATATGTAGCGTGATGCCACTGAAAACTAATCATCTTGGAGAGGAGTATATAACAACTATTTTTGACACAATATATTAATTATTCTGAGATCAGAAAAATAAGCTTAGATTAAAGATTTAGAACTTCTAAGATGGGAATATTCCTTGAACTTAATGTCATTAGAAAACAAAGGAAAATAGATCAGCTTGGGGCACTAGGACCATGCAGAAAATACGTGCAACAAATGTTATTCAGTCATGGTAAGCAAAATGAGGTGTTTTGTAACAGGTGAGATTGTACAAATACCATAGTCAGTGGCAAAGTTTTTCGCATGCCTCTGGCAACAGTATGCAACATAATCAAGAAGATCTCTGTTGGAAAAAGAGAGACAAGTCATGTGTATACAAGTTGTTCCACAGACATATTTGTTCAATCATCACACACCTGAAGCAGCTGGAAAATAAAACATGTATTTATGATATTCCATTGGAAGATGCACTGGGAAACCATGTCCTTGTACACTAGGTGTCTTAAGGAAAGCCTGTAGGGAGTAATGGTGTAATTATAACCTTATGACAGAGCCTTTTGTAATGGAAATTATACTGTAGGGCTATTGACAAGATGCACTGTCTAAAAAAAAAAGTGGGATAGTGGTAAGTCTGATGTGGACTGTAATGAATTGGTAAGGCTGTAAAATTGTTTTAATATAACATATTCAACCTCTGTATAAATGTATGTATGTATGTATACTTGAAGTAAAATAAATAAGTATGCAACAAAATTAAAAGTTATTTTATTTTGAAATTACTTCAGAATACTTTTGTATGTTTCGAATGTTTTATTGAGTTCAGCATTATTGTTGAAACTATCCATACCTCCTGTACTAATTTTCAACAGGCCATTACAATCAATTAACTTCCTAAGATATGTCTTAAAATTAAGTGTGCAAAGTTTTAAGCACATTACTGTTATGAAAGTAACATTTCAATTATCAGTTTTCTGTTATTTAAACCTGGATGTTCCTTTCTACAAGCAGATGTGTTATAGATTTCTATTCAGAAATGTGCTTAAAATATAGCTATATTTGTACTTTTAAAAAGGTACTTTTATATTAAAATAACTGATAATGTTTAAGCAAAAAAGTAATGAAATATTAGTAGGGTTACAATTACAACTTTATGTATGTGGTGGTGGGGTGAGGGGTTGTTTGGTGATGATATTAAATTTGTTTTGTAAAATGTACTTCTAAATGAAGTCATCTCGTGTATTTAGCCACATTGATGTTTTTGTACTGTAATTTAAACCTAAAATATTTTTCAAATTATTAGAGTCAAATTATTCATAAAAAGAAGTCCAAAAGCTTATTAGCTTAGTTTAGCCACAGAAGGGCTTGGCATGGCCTAGTGGTTAGGATTCTTGACCTACAATTTGCAGGTTGTGAGATTGCACTGAACTTGGTTACCCTTTCAGATGTGGAGGCATTACAATATGTCAGTTAGTTCTATTATTTGTTGGTCAAGTGTAGCCCAAGAGTTGGCAGTGGGTGGTGTTGACTAGTTGTATTCTCTCTAGTCTGTCATTTCAAAATTAGGGATGGCTAGCACAAATAGCTCTTGAGCAGCTTTGCATGAAATTCAGCAAACAAAGAAACAGTTAATCACAGAAGCAAAATAATAATTAGATTATCTTTTTTTAGGAGCTTTAAATTTAAAACTTGTTAGGTATGTTGAAAAATTATGGAAGGGATTTATTTCTGTTAGCAGATGACGAAGTAGGCATGTTTTAGATTTCTAGCAAATGTGCATAACATCTAAATTTATTTTATCTTATAAAAACTACTTCAATTAAGGTATTTTTTTGGGAGAAAGGGAACTAGTAATAAGCCTGCTTAAAGAATTCAATAGCTAAAAGTATGTTTTATCTTTGTTAACTTAAGCACATCAGTGTATTTTGATTATGTGCTAATCCTGAACCATTTAGATGAGCTGTGGTTAACGATTATATTGATAGGTAGAACATTTTTAATTTGACTATTTTGGAGTAAATGTATGATTTGCTGGATAGATACCAACAAGCATAATTTACTTATGATAGGCTCAATAATTCAGTAGAACAACTTTTTGAAGTTTAAATCCTTTTATATGTTTAAATGAGCTATTTGTCACAAAAATAATCATGATTTTAGCAATAAATATTTTGAGTCTCAGCTTGAAAGTTAATGGAAGTGAACTTGTTCTTAATTCCAGGATCTGCAACATGACAGTAAAAGAAGCCTAATAAAGTTATCTAACTCATTAATTATTTTAAAACCTGATTGACACAAACATTTGATTAATTATAAGACTGTCAAGCACATGTATATTTAGATAGTTTAAAAACTACTATTTTCTCATGTATTATTTGTTTACCTTCTTTTGGCTACTGTTGTCAATTTACATCATCAGTAACATCTGTCAGCTAAAGTTCTAATATGTAAAAACTAACTTGAGAAATATTAATAATACTAAAAATACAGTATACTTTATGACTTATAATAATAAATCAGTGATAATAGTTAGCACTGGTTTGTAGAACACCATATAAGTATCTGGTTAAAGTAAAAGCTTGTAATTGGCATGTTTAAAATTTTTCTTGGTAATATCAGCTGTTTACTGTGACATTTCATCACATTTAATGAATTTAAAATGTACTGAACTTCTTCTTTGATGCCTATTTTACTGTTTGTTTAATGCCTTAACACACTGAAATTTGTTTAATTTATTAATATATTGAAATTTCTGTTCCTAATCATAAGCATAATTCAAATTCACATTTCTTTAAAAAGGTTAACCAGTAAGTCACTAATCTGTTGATAACATTACAAGAACTTCATATCATAGAAAAACATTTGTATATTTTCATGCCTTTCTTGATTTCTGCCAATGACAAAAGTAAAATAATTGTTTTGTGGAAGATTAATGTAAGTACATAGCAGAGTCTATAGATTTTTTACTATATTGACAGTTTTTACTGATAAATGAGGATTGAACTGTATTAACCCATACGTTTTCCCTAAAGATACTTATAATAAAACTTGTGTACCAAGAAAGGTGTTTTTGTGAAATCAAATCAGATGCTTAAAGTTATCACATATATATTTTTACATATTAAGGAAGATGGTAAAATGACTTATTTCACTATTTTATACATAAAAATATTAATTTGGATGTAGTTACTAAGTAATTTTTAGTTGTTAATGTTGAAACATTACCATAAAATTTAAAGAAACTGAACTATTGTGTGTGTGTTGTTTCTGTGATATAATATTGTAGGACAGTATTGCCATAAAAGTTAACAAAACTACAGTTGTAGAATAGTATTACCATAAAAGTTAAAGAAACTGAACTATTGTGTGTGTTGTTTCTGTGATATAATATTGTAGGACAGTATTACCATAAAAGCTTACAGAAACTGAACTATTGTGTGTGTTGTTTCTGTGATATAATATTGTTGGACAGTATTACCATAAAAGCTTACAGAAACTGAACTATTGTGTGTGTTGTTTCTGTGATATAATATTGTTGGACAGTATTACCATAAAAGCTTACAGAAACTGAACTATTGTGTGTGTTGTTTCTGTGATACAATACTGTAGGACAGTATTAGCTTAAAAGTTAAAAGAAACTGAACTATTGTGTGTGTTGTTTCTGTGATATAATATTGTAGAACAGTATTACCACAAAAGCTTACAGAAACTGAACTATTGTGTGTTGTTTCTGTGATATAATATTGTAGGATAGTATTACCACAAAAGCTTACAGAAACTGAACTATTGTGTGTGTTGTTTCTGTGATATAATATTGTAGGACAGTATTTATGTATAGCTTGTGGACCAAAAATAAGGAATATTGTGAACTTTCAATTCTTCAGGGCATGCAAGAGGATCAAATTAGGTCCATCTTGAAGCAATTAACAGGAAGTGCATCACGACTACAAACAGAATGTAACACACTTCTTCGTCAGAACCAGCCACCCATAGACTATCGATTTGTGACTCAACAGGTCATTCAATGTGCTTATGATATTGCTAAAACTGCTAAACAGTTGGTTACAATTTTTCACTGAAAGAATTTTGTAGCAAGATGGAAAAAAAAAAAACTTAACTGACTAAAATATCTAATTTGGTTGTAGCTTGTATATTAGATACATAGTACAATGGAGTCAGTTATAAATTTTTTTTTGTCAACCTCTGATAAATAAGTAATTATCATAATTATTTTCAGTTATAGGTAAAAATTAAGAATTTTCCTTAACTTTTAAACTCAAAACTTGCTTATAGATGCTGGAGTAAGCTCTATATGTTATGTACTAGAAAACTATAAACATTTCACTTATATTTAGGAGAGTAAAGAAAGGAGTTTTGAAAAGCCCATGCAAAAATATTTTTCTATGCTCAGAGATAAAGATTTCTAATTGTAGCATACATTGGACTGAGTGTTATAAAAATGTTCTTACTGATAAATGTGCCTATAGTATCAGTCTGTTTAAACATGTAAAAGGATTAGATATAGCCATATTTTAATGTGAAAGGTTCGGTTGTAGTGAAGTACATAAAGTTCCTGATGACAATCATACTTAGTAACTTTTGCTCTGATTCTGTTACGAAGCATTTGAACACTAGGGTAAGTAATGCTTGTATAAACTATATCTTATCATTTCCATGATTTTAACTTATCGTAGCAGTTCATAGAGGTTTGCAAATTATTTTCAATTTCAAAAGGTTTAAAAATTCAAAAGTAAAAAAAGTGTAGCCTTCATGTTTTAATGTGATTAGCTTGACATATATTTAAAGAGATCGATTTAATAATTTGTTTTCAACATGCATGTCTAAAAAAACAAAACTGACATCTTACCACTGTAACTTTTATACAAGGAACATCATATTTTAGAAGTTACTTCTTTATATATTGATAAGATTAATCACTTTCACATTCATTAACTGTGTTAATGCCATATTATGTATTAAATATGCCACCCCCAGTAGCTCAGTGGTAAATTTGTAAGCTTATAACTATACAAATCAGGTTTGGTACCCATGGTGGGCATAGTACAGATATCCCATTGTGTAGCTTTGTGCTTAATAACAAATGAGCATTAAATATACTTGATATACTTTCTTGATTTTGTTTTTCAATTTTGCAGATTTATATGTATAACAGAAACAAATTAAACAAATTTTTGAAACTGAAGACTTTAAGATAAAGCATTTTTATTATTTTGTTAGAGTAAGAAATGTATGACTGTTAGGAAAAAAAAGTTAACATGATTCTATCTAATGGGATTTACCCATCTTTATGTTTGATAATGATACTGTTTAAGATCAGACAATAAAAAACCAAGCTGATTGACTGTAAACTAAATTTCACAATTATGGATCATACTGCATATTTATTTAAAAGTACATACGGTGAAAAATTTAAATTTTTAGTACATTTACATTGTCTTTCTTAAATGCTTGTGTACTATATAATATGCAGTGATGATTTTCTAAGTTAACCATGGTGTTTGCTTGATAGAGCTTTGAAGTAGACCTGTTTTCTTTAAACTTCCTGTGTCTTCACATGCACATATAGAACTTAGATATGGGGGCTAAATATAAATCATATTACTTTGTTAGTTAATTTGATTCTATCCTTGTCTTACTGGGCAGTTACAAACTTTCACTTCATTTCATAAAATAGATGTACACAGTTGATTGTAATATAGTGTTTAAGAAAAACACTGTCCTTGCAGTTTGTTCCTTGTTTATTAAATGTTAGAGTATTAAACAATATAACACTTGATTTTTACAATTTCTTGTATTTTAAAGATGTATACATTTGTAATGTGAAAGACTGATTGTAGTTTAAGGTTTTAATTTTAATAGTTTTCTTGGGAGTGCTATTTATTGAGTAAGCAAAATGTAAAAGCACTACTATTGAAACATGATTGTTGTGATTATTGAAATCACAGTAATATGTACTTGTCAAATATTTTCTAGCCAAATTTTACTCTATTGAATTAAATAATTAAGAGTTTTTTGTTTAGTAAGTGAAATTTACAAAAAGTAATTTACTAGAACTGGAATCATCTTTTTAAATATGATAAAAATTCACAGTTTTGTGTGAAAGATATCAGCTGTTGTCTTACTAACAGTATGAAAACTATTGCTTTTTTTCGGTAGCTTTCAGATCACACTCTTGTATGTGAAACAATACCATAAATTAAGAATTATAAATCAGAAATGAAAACGGCTTGTTTGTGGTTGTAGTTATATAAATGTTTATATTTAAAAACTCTCAGTACCTGAGAATTTGAGAATAAAAGTTGCTAAGTTTTGAAGCTCTATTACAGGTGCATTGAAGAAATGTGCTTTAATAATTAAAAGATAAGTGGAAATTCATTAGCTATTTTCTTACTATTTTAAGATGGTATTTTATTGATGTTGAGTTTAAGCAGCTATTGCCTTTAAGAGCTTGAGTGTATTTTTAGATAACCAGAAAAAAAAAGCCTGTTAATAAAATTACTTTGACATTATACAGAAATCTGTTGTATAAGTTCTTAGTGTTATTGTTATATTTTTATGGTCTAAAATGATATGTTGTATTGTACTATTTGCCACTGCAATGGATCAGTATAATTGTATGTAAAAACCTTTGACACAAACATACAGACCAAACATCTTTCTGAAGTCTGTGTGTGATGTAGTATTAAGAAGTTTAGTATGTAAAAAAAGATATAAAGGAATGTAGGAAACCATAAAATTGTACTTACATGTGTGTCACATTGAATAACAGTAATGATAAAGTGGTATTGCCATATTAATAAGTGACATTTCAGAAATATTTGGATAAAAGCAGTGCTTGAAGTGGGGTGGGATGACATCCCACTTCTTTTCAGGAGGGCCCAAATCAATTTTGCTACCTTTTAATAGACTGTAAGCTTCTCAGAAAGATTTAATAGATGATGCAATAAATCTTTACAGTGGCAAGGAACTGGGAAGGGAAACTCATGTAAGAGCAAGACAGGAATGAGATAAAGTAGTGTTGGGAGCCTGCCTAACATCTTGCACAAAATAAGAGTAAATAAAGTTTTTATTTAGATATTTTAATTTATCTTTTATTACTTTTTACACAAGTTGTTTATGCTTGTCTTGAGGAACAACAATCATTCACATTTGAAAAATATGTTAAGTATACTATTAAATTATCATAAGATACAAATACACTTTATTGAATAAAATTCTAAATTTTAGTGTTTTCAGCATTTTGAATGATGACAGTTACGAAAGAAAACTGTTTACCTTTATAAACACAACCCAGTGGGTAGAACTGTGGATCTGAGGATTTATGGTTCATGCCACGTTATTGGTAAAAAACAATTCATGTTCTGCACTTTGGGGTTGTGGGTACATTATAAAAGTGACAGTCAAATTCTACTATTCAATTAAAATACCACTTGAGTTTTCAATGGGTGGTATTGACTAACTGCCTTCTATTTAGACTATCACTTCAAAATTAGGAACAACTAGTGCAAGTAGCTTTTGAGTAGCTTTGTATGAAATTCAACAAACATGTTCATCTATTCCTTTCATTCAGTTGTAATTTTGGCATCTGTTACATATCAAAGTAGACAGTAGGGTAAAGTTGAAATTAATTACTCGGTAAATAAGCAAGAATGTTTAGCAGTAGTACATGGTATTAAAACATTGTTTTTATTTGTATGATAAAATGTTCACCATAATCACAGATCATATACCCTTACAGTGGTCAATGACATTAAAGGATCCATCTTCAACGTTTGCAAAGTGGTCATTCCTATTACAGGAATATGCTTTCAAAGAAATACACAAACATTAATGTAGAGGCATTAAGTAAGTTTAAAGTAGGAGACTTTCATTAATTCAAAATATATGATTAACAACACTGAAGAAATAAAAAAGTTTAGATAATATTAATGAGCAAAGAAAGATGTATCAGATAAACCATTAAAAATAAGAAACCAACTACACATTAGATTAAAATGCATTATGCAGAAAAGGAAGAAATACAGTGTGTGTACCACAGGTGTTCAAAAGGAAAGTTAGGAGTACTTATCATGATATGCTATTTGTTACACATTTAACTTTTGTTTAAAAATATAGTGGAATAAATAGGATATTATTTTGGTAGAATGTGAGAAAGATGTGAAAAAATTTTTCAAATTGTCTATTGAGTGTCAACAAAAAAAAAGGTAAGACTAGCCCACATTTAAAGAATTCATTTTTTGCATAGAACTTTTTTAAAGAAACCAACTTATTTTGGCATCTGTAACTTTATGTAGTTTGATCATCCTTTCATTATTCATATTACTGTATTGACTGACAGAGGCACAAATTTTATTTGAAAATTAATGAAAGAAATATGTAAACTACTAGATTTGAAGAAAATAGAGACAACTGCATACTATCCGGCTGCTAATAGATTTAACAGAACTTTGTCAGATATGCTGTAACAAATTGTGAATCAGATCAGAAGACACGGAATAAACAGGTTTTTTTATTATTGTTAGCTTATAGAAGTGCCACAAACGAATTGACTGAGAAAAGTGATTTATTTGTATTACATGATAGAGATATCAAGATGCTAGTGCAAGAAGTATTAAATTTAAGAAGAGTTAATTATGAATTAGATGAGGACCATAAAGCAGAAATGATGCAAAAGATGTAAGTATTATTCAAAATATCAAAATAATATTTAACTACAGCAACACAAAGTAAAGAAAAACAGGTAGGTAAAAAAAAAAAGAAGTAAAAATTAGTGTAATTAAGGTAGGAGATAAAGTATTGTTAAAAATAGAAACAATAAGGAACTAGCTAAGTTATGGAAGATCCTATTTATCGTAGTAAACCAATAAGTTCTAATAATTTGAATTACAAATAGTACATGGTAAGAAAATACAGTTAGAACACATAAACAAGTTAAACAAGATTAAGAAATCTAAGCTATATGAACCTGAAAAATGACCCAAGAATTAAGACTCCACTAGTTAAAATTAAAGATAAGGCATTGAATAGGAATAATAACACAGAGTTACAAGACAAACGCATCGAACCCATAAAGGATGAAGTTATAGATATCCCACCTGAAGATAATGACACAGCAACCATGCTACTAGATAAAAGTCAGGCAACAAACAGAGTACATGCACTAAATAGAGCACACCACAAAACACTAGCTGAAGCAAGCAGCTCAGACATACAAATTCCAGTAATTGCAGATGCTAGAGAAAGTCAAACTACATCCAATGCCTACTGTTTAAATATTGGTTATAATTTAAAGTCATGAGGTCCACAATCTGGATACCAGACCTACCTATCCAAAGGTCAAAACAAGTTAGAATTTACTTGCATGTTATAAAGATATACAACATGAGATGGTATTAACCTATAATAAGAAAATCAGGTAATAAGGTAAATTTACTTAAGACATTCAATAATATGTTAGATTACTTAAAAGAAAGTAATCATGATATTATTAGACATTTAGTTGAAGTATAGATTATTAACAAGTTTATTTACAGTGTATCCTCCAATCTACGTGCGATCACTGGCATTTTATGGCTTTAGGTGTTTTACTAACTTGACTTGTAGTTTGATCATCCTTTCATTATTCATATATCAGTTAAGCTTTATTTGCTTTACTTTTATGGTTTATTTGCTGGTTAGTTGGTGACATCTCAAGCTTTGTCCTTAAATTAAGTACTGTCATGTTTCTTTTCTCATTTATTTTTCCACCTCTAGAAGTATACAGTATTCCATGATATTTTCTTTGTCTCAGAACAATGTCAGAGAAAAAGGTAATTGTCTTCTCTTCATCAAATATCTCTCATTTTTAAATTGAAAAGTAAGTACTTATGGATTAAGTTAGTTTTAAATTATAATTGATTATATTTTAAAATCATAATGGGTTATTATGTCACAGCATTGTAGGATTGTAGAACAACTGGTAGATGTAGCTGTACATAAGTATTTGGGCTAAATGGTACATTATTTTATTCACTTCTGCTACTACTAATGATAGAAATATGAATATAATATTCTAGCTTGTGATTAATTTAGTATTTACCATCAGCACCATGGCATAAACATTTTTTAAATTTAACTAACACCAGTATAGCTCTACTAGTAGTTCTAGTATTAGAGTTAATGCCAACATAAAATCATTAAACCCCTGAGTTACTGAGCTAAAGGCTACTGTTATTGCTGAATATTATTATTAGTAATAAATTAATAATCATTTAATGATGCTTTGGGGATAGTACTGCTAGTTTACTGATGGTAGTACTGCTACTGGTGCAGTGATTTACCTAAAGTTTTATAAAATGACATTAACTGCTGCTATTTTCATAATTCACCAAATATAAAACACATTTAATTAATCAATTAAGATAATCATTAAAACCATTAATCGGTACTTTTATTAACACTCATGAAGGTACAAGAAACTTATGAATTCTTCAAAGTCATAGACTGAAGAATGTAAGGCAATGTGAAGAAAATATGTTACAATTCAGTAATTAATGTTGTGGGTAATAATAATAATAAGTTGGTTGCGTGCCAGTCAGTTAGTAAGGTAAGAGTGACCAGTGATTGACTGATTAAGTCAGTTAAGTTCCAGAACAAGTTATTAATTGTTAGTAGTGAGCGTTATGGCGCTTATTCTTGGTTAGTTACCCGACTGTTTATCTATTAAAGCCAATAAAGTTAGACATACATACTGTTACGACAGCGGAAGTCACGTGACGTGGTAACACGTAATGAGTTCTAGAAAAATCGGGGAACATCACGAATAATCCAGTATTTGCTAGGCGCTCTCTATTCTTGTATATAAGTGCGCCAGACAGTGAATCGGGGATAGAATTGCAGACAGACAGAGACGGACAATTGAGTCAAGCGCGGTAGTAAGTAAGTGCGTGAATCGTTCCCTGTGAATTATAACGTGTTTTTTATAAAATTAGTTAAGTTAAATTGACTGTGGAAATTAAGTGTATTGCAAAGTTGAATTGAGAAAGAATAAACTAGTTTCATTTAAGAAAGGACTTGTGTCGCTAAAGTTTCATCGGAAAGAAATTATACGGTAAATTAACTAACGACCAGAGACGTAACAATACCATTAGTCTCAGAATTAATGTTGAAACGGTGTATTAGGATTTAGGCCTAAATCAGTCTCACAGTGTATGTTAAAAATGTGGCAGAAAAGTTTGGCCTGCTAATAACAGGAGATTCTCATATCTTGGGTTTGAGTACATATATCTCAACGAGTTGCAACAGTTGAGTCACGAAAAAGAGGCATGACACAGATTTACACAAATAACAAATGTTTTATGTTACTTTCACAATTAACAATACAAATAAACAATTCACTGTAATATTATATACAATAATACAATAAACTATAGGTAAGAAATCGTGTATATGACAGACAATAGCTTAGTCAAGGCTTTATTTAACAAATTGCACTTCTCAGTTCAAATAGCTAACCCTTGTAAATTAATCTAAATGAAG